CTCGCTGTTCACGAAAATCAGCCATTGCAAAAACGACGATCACACAAAACAGTTGTCACTATAAACTCTGCCGAAACTAGTCCTTACCCTCTGAAGCAACGGCAGTCAGCTCGAATCAGGAATATTAGCTCTATGCGCTCATAGCGGCAAAACGCGGGACTACAGAAGCTCTGCCCACAAAAAAATTAGTTCGGTTTCTTTTGGGTACCCCATCGTATAGCAAAAGGCAGAGTTGTTTCTGTCCCTGAACAGCACAGTGGACAAGAAGCTCCATAAAGGGTAACTCTTCTACTATGAAGATGGAGAGCGCTTTTCCTATAAAATGTTGATAGTGTTCTGCATCATTCTTAGGATTTCTCCCTTTCCTTGGTCCAGGAAAAGACTTTTTATTTGTCAGGCATGAAAGCAGTTTTGCATTTATATTTTGCGAATTATGTACACATGTCGTGCTTAAGTATATTTTCTGCCAGCTGCATGATTACTTGCTTCCTCAGCACACAGAATAACCTTTCTTTTAAATGCATCATCATATATAAAAACTTTTCTGTCGGTAAAAACTGATAGAAAACTGAACACACCAGAACAATAAAAATGACAGGCAATGGCGGAACTGAAAGTTGAGGGTTGACTCACAGTTAAAGATTCACTCTGAATGTACATAGGTTCTTTCCAGGCAACTCCATGGACAGTTTGCAAACTGGTGAATAATTCCTCAAATTTAAGATGCACCTCAGTTTTTCAACACGAAAGAATTTGCATCTTACGTTCTAAGTAATACAGTATCTGAAACATCTTCGACCTTACATGTGAGCTACGTTCTGTTGTTGTCATCTTGAAATCACTAGCTTTTATGCAGTTTCACCAATCAGCTTCCCTATTTTCACAATTCCTTCTTCTTTCACAACTTTCATATGTTTACTGTGTTTGCCATTGCCACTTCCAGCACCCATCCTGCAGTACTGTGTGGTTCTTCAGTTCCTCCCATGTCAGATTTTTTGCCTTGGACTATTTTTCATGCTTTGAGTTCGGTGGTGTCTCATGAAACTTACATTCTTATCTGTCTTTGGATACCCCTAAACTGAATAAGGTCAACTTCAAGGTCATGAAAGTGACTGTGGTTATGGTCATGAATAACTTGTTATAAGTGTTTCTGCTCCTTTCATCTTCAGATATTTTACTTGGAGAGACAGCCTAAATATATATTTCTCTCTTTATACATCTTGAAGTGCAATGGATTTTAGCATGTGCAACATGTCAAATGCATTAACTCGATAAAAGCTTTGTGGGAACATCCCACTACTATCACGCTATTTCTACATCGCTCACTATTCAGCTCACTTTTCACCAATCACATCGCTTCCAACGCTCACATATACAGCACTTGCTGTCTAGTCCACATTCAGATCATTACACGTGCTAGCCAATCAGCGCTCACAATTGCAACTGCAAATTTCGCTCCTCCATCACGCATGGTATAAAAGCCGGAGCACATTGCTCGCGATCGTCAGTGGCCACATGAGCCAGTCAGCTATCACACTTCATACAAAGCAATCGGTCTTCGGAGTCATCGGCACTTCGCTGCGTCAGGGACGGCTGCCTCGGCTTTCTGGTGGTCATGCCCGACTCACTGGGCAACTGGCGCAGCTGCTGCCACTCCAGCGACCATGCTCCACAACCAGACTTCTTCCAGCAACCACGCTCTGTGATCAGGCAACTTCCGACAACTGCCGCACTGCGGCCAGTCAACTAACTCAGCTGCCGTAACATTAGTCAGCGCACCACAGCCGACATTATTTCTACCGGCACACGCAGCCCTACTTCACCGGCCAAACATCCCAGCCGAATGGCCCTTTTCAGGGCCTACAAACTTTCCGAAGTGGTGTGTCTATTGGAGTATCAACAATCCCACAGCTTAAGACATTGATGCATATGAACAAATATTCAGTATGACCCTTCATCCTTGGCTTGAAAATGGGAAAAAAAAAGAATCCTCATTTTCCATCTGGATAGATACAGTAACTATAAGTGTGGTAGCTGCAGTAAAAAGCTCTTTCCCTGCATGTTCTTCATGCTATTTGGTGTACGAGTAGTGTGTGACTTTGTATATAGTGAATTGAGAAATATATCTGACAGCTTTGGATGGACAAATCATTGACTGCAGGTTTTCAAATGTAATGTAAAAGATAAAATTATCCCTCCTCTTAATTAAGCTGTGTGTCATAAACACACACACAAGGGAGTGATAGTTTGGCTTTTTCAGTTCTTGACATGATGATGAAGTGAATGGTCAGTGTCACCTACTTACCAGGGCAAGAACTTTCTCCCATTGTGTAAGAGTCTAGGTGGGCCCTAGAACCAATCTGAATGCTGTGGAGGATAGAACGGTCTTCACTTCTACTGGGAATGAAACCCCGATTCCCCATTTGTTATGCCAGTAGCCTAATTAATGTACTTGCTGAGCTGTCCTGGCTCACATTTAGGCATTATGGAGCACAGAATTACTTTATTTTGTTCTAACAAAGAAGGATATATGCAAGTAAATGTGGAAGTTTGTTCATTTGACAAGTTAGTAAATTGTTCAGATATTGAATTTTGTGTGAAATATGACACTTCCCGATAATTTAAAAGGGTTCTGGATACTTACAGACACATAAACTACTGGATCACCGGTGCAGAATGGCCAGAGGTTGAAGGAGGAGAAGAATATTTTACAGAGGCTCTTGAGGTGAATTAAATATTTTATGCTACTTTTACATTAACTTCATGTTGAACCCCCCACTACCTGTGTTCATTCTTTCACTGATTCAAATGTGGACTTCACTAAGTATATTTCCTAGTTATATTGTTAACAGTAATAATATTTACAGTGACTACAGAAACTTGAATACTTGATATAGACATCATGCCCCGATCTGGTTCACCTGTTTCAGATGCTCAGAAAATATAAACCTGGAAACAAGACACATGTGGAGATGAAGGAGCCATACAAGTTCAGTCTGTTTGTGAAATGTGCACAGTGTAAGTAAAGATCTGTTGCTTTTACTTTGCGTATACTTTGGGAGTAGGAGATTAAAATCCCTCACTGCTATGAGGCTTGGTGGCTGAACTAAACATGCAGATAATTGTATTTTTGTAAGATTTCAGGCTTTCACGGCGGTGACTATGAAGAAAGCAGTCTTCTGGGATTTGGCACCGTGTAAATTTCTTATATTTTTTCTTCTACCCTGAAGATGGGTATATAAGAAATTTCTTATATTTTTTCTTCTACCCTGAAGATGGAGGCGATACGTTCCTCCGAAACGTCGGTTAACACCACATATACACACGGTGCCAAATCCCAGAAGACTGCTTTCTTCAATTGTATTTTTGTTGATAAAATGTGACATTAAGCAGGCTGGTCCATACACATTGCCACAATGAATGTAATGCATGGTTAATAAATGCTTTTTATACTTAGCTTATGGAAACTGCAATAACGATGTTGACATTAATGTAGATTATTGCATATCTGAAACATCTACACGGGTATATGAGACAAACTCCGTCTTAAGTGCAACAATTTAATTGTAGTTTTTCCTTCTTTCCTACAATTAAATTGTTGCACTTAAGACAGAGTTTGTCTCATATATTGTGTGAGTGTAACAGGATGCTTAAATGTAATATCTACAAGGGTATGTCATATGTAGATGGGTAACCTTGTGGAAGAGTCCTGTGTTCAACAGGATCTCAGTATGGTCATTTTGATTTCTCTCACATGTTGAAAAGAGAATCTCCTGACTATAAAGAGGCCATAGTCGTCAACGTCAAGTGTCTGAGGCTTAAACTTGGCAGTGGTCAAGCTTATGACCATTCATAAAATTATATTTGAGCTTCCTGTTGCATGAAAGTGTCACTCAGGCATTCATTTGCATCCTAATGCAACCTAAAACTGTTGACAGTCTCTCTTCTGTTTAAAATGACATTAAAATCACATGAATTGCTACATGTTTTGGCCATACTTGGCCATCTTGAGGCAGTTGTTCACTTATTGGAATTGTTGTGCTGGACTAGATCATAGGTCAGTGTGTTCCTTGCTATTGCATATCATATTCACACTAAAATGTGTTTGCTTGAGAATAAATCTCTTTGTTCTGTGTTTTTTACCTTTTCTGGCATCCATGTTTCTGTAATGTATAATATATGTTTATTGGTAATGTAAAAACATATTACTGTTCTATGAAATGCTATTTTATATGCCAGTATATTATTTTCTTATGTACTTACTGCCCCCTTCATATGTTTGTTCTCACTAGTTGGGTGTGTGTCCCTTGTATTGATCGTTCAGTGTGAATGTTCCTGCTTTTATATCTTTTCTGGGGGTGTGTGCTGCTATCTGTCATAAAGTTCATGTAATACCTGACATATTGGGATGTATGTATCAGTGTATGGGTAGCTGGGATAGCGTAGTCGGTATAACGACCGCCTACGGGCTGGATGATCGGGGGGTCGGAGTTCAAGTCCCTGTAGGGTCAAGAATTTTCACTTCGCCATTCGTCCAGACCATCTCTGGGGTCCACCCAACCTCTTACACAATGGGTACTGGGGGCTCTTTCCTGGGGATAAGGCAACCAGGGCGTGAAGCTGACCACTCACCTCTAATTAGTGCCGAGGTAAAAAAAAATGTGGATCTATACATCCATTCCTACATACATCTTCATGGCATAGTGCTTAATTTGGTAAACAAAAGGACAACTTTACCTTTTATATGTCAGTGTATGTATCATTCATATGCACGTTATTTGTACTTCCTTTATGGTATGCATCCTGTTGTGTCATTTACAAAAAGATATAATTTCGCACAACAAATCATCAGAAAGAAACAAAATAGACACTGTTGTGTCAACATTTGTTTTTATTTGTTGGTGGTATGGCTGCATGTTTTGACCTCTTTCCTGGTTCATCTTCAGGCGTACACAAATACTATTTAGCTTCTAAATTGCATCATTAATCAATATGAATTCATACTGTGTCTGTATGATTATTCTATACTGACAGTTATATCTTATTTTTAAAATGTGGTCCAAATATAGGTAAAAGTAGACATGGAATTTGATATTAAATTGGATAAAAGTTAAGAATAGAATTAAAATTACAATTCAGATTATAATTAAAATGGTTATTAAGGTAGTTGTAATCAATATTACAAATTCCATTTAAGCCTTGTGCCTGCTACATATCATATGTGTGTTGCTTGTTCTTCCACTCTGGTGGTGATATTGTGCTCTGGGGTATCTGCTTTCTGGGATCTTTATTCAGACCATATGCCATGTTGGTTTCTTTACCTGTATTCTCCAAGTATAATTAGAATGGTCAAGCCAAAAGGGATGAGATGCGTAGGGCATATCGCACGAATGGGGTTTGCAGGGGAATGCATATAGGGTGGGAAAGACAGAAGGAAAAAGACCACTAGGAAGACCAAGACCTAGGTTGGTGGAGAGAAATAAGATGTAAGATTTGAGGCTTTCACGGCGGTGACTATGAAGAAAGCAGTCTTCTGGGATTTGGCACCGTGTATNCACAACATATTAGCCATGACTCTTGACTCCTTTCAGTCAGCAGGTGACAGCTAAAGTTCTGGCTAACATGCCGACAGTAAGAGAGTCAGACAATTTGGCCCTTTGAGAGAAAGAGGCCGTATGACAAGACAGCATCTGAAGTGTTCAAAGCAGTATCCTGATTTGGAGTTCATGATTAATTTGCACTGAATTGGACCATATTACATATAAATCACTCACAGTAAGAAAATAAATGTTACACAATCTAATGCTTGAACATATACATTTCTTCCATCTGTAGTAGAATTTTTTGGATCCATATTGAGGATGTGATATCTAGTGCTTTGTCTTGTGTAATGTTCGTTGACAATTTAACAGAAAGAATCTTTTTTTATATAACTTGTGTTGGTATTGTTTACACATTAAACATACTTTAATTATAATATTTACTTTTTATCTGGAAGAATCTGAGGATATCATCTGACTGTTTATCGCATACACACATTTAGTCTTGAAGGAAAATTACAAGGGATATCTGTAAAGTAAAGAGTTCACCGGCCACGGTCATGGCAATGTCATACTCGCAGTATGTGTTTAAAATTGCCTTGTCAATTCAGAATCCCTCCAAATGTGAGGTTCATGCAATAATTCAATTTCTTCACCCGAAAGGAGAAACTGCTGCTGAAATTCATTGCCAGCTTGTTTCTATCTATGGTGAAGATGTTATGAACAGGCAAAATGTGGCAAAATTGTATAATGAATTTGAAGTGGGAAGAAGTGATGTTCAGGATGAAATAAGGAGTGGACAGCCACCCATTGTCACTGATAAAATCCAAAAAATTAATGAAAACATTTGTGCTGACAGACTTTGAACCATTGAAGAACTTCATAAATTATGTCTAAAAGTGTCAAGGACTGTTCTCCATGAAATTGTTACAAAAAAATTGGGCTGTCGGAAACTGTGTGTGCGTTGGGTGTCGAAAATGTTGACAGACGATCACAAGAAAAATTGAGCGGCTGAGGTGCAGGCATTCCTTGCGCATTACAAGAATCAAGGTGATGACTTTCTGGACTGTATTATGATGGATGATGAAACTTGGGTAAACCATCACATGCCTGAGATTAAGTGACAGTCAATGCAATGGCACCACCACACACTCACCAAAAGCAAAAAAATTCAAAACACCATAAAACCGAAAAGTCATGGCAACCATATTCTGGGACAAGAAGGAGCCACTTCTTGTCAATTTCTTTCCTTGAGGCCACACCATCAGTGATGCTGCCTTCTGTCAGATGCTGAAAACACTGTGTTGGGCTATTCAAAACAAGCAGAGAGGAATACTGACATGAGGAGTCTGCTTACTGCACAGTAACACCTGTCCGCACACTGCTCATGCCATGCAGGAGTTGTTGCAGTCTGTCAGGTGGGAAGTATTGGCCGATCCACCACACAGCTCAGACCTGCCACCAAGTGACTGTTAGTTGTTTTGTGAATTGAAGGAAAGTTTGGCTGGAAAGACTTTTTTTTGGATGATGATGATGAGCTTCAAGACATGATGGTGACATGGCTAACAGATCAGGTGGGAGATTTCTATGATGCTGTAATACAAAAAATTGTTCCCCAGGCCAACCAAGTGCATGGTGATCCATGGTGACTATATTGGAAAGTAAATAAAGGTGTGTTGTAAAAGTGCTACAAGTGAATCCAAAAAAAAAAAAATGCTTTACAAATCTTTTCTGGTCTTTGTATCTTTACTTTCAAATAACTTTCTTATTTCTTTCATATCTTCATTCCTGATGCCCTATCATCCTTTCCTTATCCTTTTTGTACCATCTTCTTCTTTCTTCCTTTCTCATCTCTTGTATTTGGCTGTCATCACAATTCCTTTCCCTCTTCCTTCCATCCATCCTCTCCTTTACCTTTATGCTTTGTTCTATGTCATTTCATGGTTCTCTTCAATGATCAAGGTATGAAAGTACGATCTTGTGTTATTGGATGATCCCTCAAGGTCTTTTGTCAGGCACTTCGAGTAACTGTGTCCCTTAAGCGTGCAAATGAAGACAACCATCTTTCATGCAGAATGTACTGGATGAACACATGCATATACACCCGAAGTAATTTCTGTGCTTTACATGCATTAATAACCACTTCATTTGCCATGTGCCATACTTGCATTTATATCACACATACTTACGACTTGGTAGAATACCTCTGTGTTTATGGCATGCCATTTCATAGCTCTATTTTTAATTCTGCAAGATTACTTCGTTTCCATTGTCACAAGAAGGAGAGTTTTTACACACTTTTGTTTCTATTAAAGTAGCATAGTACCTATTGACTGTGGGAGATCTTAGGTTCTTGCACCTTTGGATCTAAGAAAGTACGCAGCATTGTCTCCCAGAAGATCATAATCATAGTGAACTAGTACTGTATATTTCCAGTTATCTGTGCATGGATTGTCTAGTCTGTGGTTTATCCATGCATCTTTTTAGGTACATTTGCAATGTGTAAAGTGCCTGTTAAGTTTGATCACTCTGCCATCTGTGTTTGTACACAGGAAACAACTAAAGAACTACTGGATAGATTTTCATGAAATTTGATATGTGATTTTATGAAAAGTTCTTATGTCATTTGAGTTTTCATTTAAGTTGGACGATTTCAATGACCACTTTACTGGTATATGAAGATCTACATGCATATCCATGTCAAGAGCTCACTGTGCTAAGTACGTATTGAGTGAAAAACATTTTGAACGGAAGTTACAGAGTAAAATGAAGAAGCCGATACAGGAGTGGGAGCAGCTGCTATATGTTCAATACATTTTCCATGAGTCTTACAGTTTTCTGATATAATTAAATCATATGCTTCCAAGTTTCTGTATTGAGTAACACCATGGTGTCCCATTTTGCCCCAGAGGTGGTCATTGGATTATCCATATTTCTTCAATTATTCATTTCCTTTCACCATGCATTAGTGTCAGTAATTGGGAGTATACTCTACTTTGATAGCCAGGATAGCACAGTGGATATAGTGACTGGCTACAGGCTGGATGGCCAAGGGGGTCAGAGTTTGAGTCCCAATAGGGTCAACAATTTTGTCCTATCAACATCTTGCAGACCAGTTCTGGTGCCCACCCAGCCTCCTATATAATGGATACCGTGGGTTCTTTCCCGAGGGTAAAGTGGCTGGGACATGAAGCTCACCACTCACCTCCAACTACTGCTAGGGTCTAGAAAATAAGGATCTCTGCATCCACTCCACAAGGACAAGGACAAATTTACCTTTCTCTACTTTGACAGTATTGGTGTTTATTTCTTTCTTTCCCTCCCTCTCTCCAAAAGTTTAGAAATTTAAAATGCTCAAAATTTTCTGTATATTGAATTTGATATATGTATTTTCTTTTCAGCAAGGCATCTGAACTTTTACAGGGAACGCCTTGATCGGGCACAAGAAATTTTTTTCTTTGTTACTTCAGTGTTGAAACTGCTACAGGAAGATGGCTGTCTTTCTCCAATGGCCCAGAAGGGATTTTTTGTACTTTTTGGTTTGCATTTTGACCTGGGTCATATGGAGATGCCGAATAGCAGACCCAATGGTATGCACATGCACAAGTCTTATACTTTGTTCGTGATATGTACTTTGTAAGTATGAGTCTGTTCATCTCTCTTAGAGTTGTTGGAAGACTCAAATAGAAATGCTGTGATGAATTCGAAACTGTACCAAAATAGAAAACATTGTATATTATACCTCACTGAACATAAAATGCAGACGAGCATTCACTTAACACTTTGCTGTTCTCATTACATGCTTCAGTCCCGTTGACCATGTTCTGAGAGACAAATGAAGAGTTTTACTCTGTTGCAGCTGATGGCATTTTCAGTTTTTATATGTCACTTTAATTGTACTGATACACACATTCTTTAAGAAAGCTGTACAGAAGAAGTTTGGATGTTAGATCTGGGATGTTACATTTCGTTTGTTTTGACCCATGATAGAGGTCATGTATGAGAGGCATTTCACAGATAATGATGTGGCCAAAAAAATAATTGCAAGACTGGCTCTGACATGAAGACAGTGAAGTCTTTACTGCTAGAATACAGAATGTAGTAAAAAGATGAGACAAGTGCATAACTGTTGATGGAGCGTGTTTTCAAAAATAATGAAAGTTTCGTGATTTTTCATTGAACCATTTTTTAGGCAACAACATTTATGTCGTTGCTTACTGAATTACCTTTGTAGGTACTTTTTACATTGATTTTGTTTTATAAATATTATATATTTCTGTAATATGAACCTCTTATTTCACAGCCAATGGACAGAAAATTTTTGAACAGATGCTAAAACTTACTGCAGTATATTATGTAGCATCATGTCTTATTGGGGACACTTGGCGTTGCGAGATAGCTGGACAGGTAAGTTAAAAGTGATGTGGCTTCTGTGCTTAGTTCAGCACCTCATCATGAAGACATGTGGGAATGATATATAGCCTCACACATTCATAATATTGGCACTAGATGAAGATTAGTGGCCAGTCTCATGCTCCATTCGCTTTACTCCTTGGGACAGAGCCCCTGGTGTCTATTGGTTAGGAGGCTCTGAGAGCTCCAGAGCCTTGCTGGACTTGGTGACAAAGGGAGACATCTCTGCTCCGGCCAGGCGTTGGACCTCAGTATATAGGTACAATGTTAATTTCAAATTTTCTTATAATAGTTTAGGGGTCTGTTTATTTTTAGCTTATACCCATATCTAGGATGATGGGCGACTCTATATCAGAAATTCTGGGTCTCATTCTTTGGGACAGTTTCAGTCAGAAATGTGTGAACACTGGTCTGATTTCCATTTGTTATGAAACTGTGGATATATAAAATCAGAGATGATTTGAACAGACAGCTTCATTAAAAAGATTAATGTACAGTTTAATTAGTAAATGTTAAAAATGGCCGCCTTCAGTTGGGATGCACGTTTTGGCCTATTTGATCATGGAATGTTTAACCTAAAAAGAGCATCAGGGTCAGTTGTGCACTGAAAATTAAATTAAGTATATCCTGTCATCTCTTCACTTTGCCTTCATACACCATGCTTTTCATGTTACCCCACACATGGAAATCTAAGAGAGTGGGATTCAGTGACTAATGGCCATTTTTGTGAACTGTGGTCAGTCAGTCAGTCAGTCAGTCAGGGGAATTGTCAGTAAGGTACTGCCTTGTGTCTTCTGCAGTACAGGGAACTCTTTCATGCTGGAGCTGTATGTGTAATGGTATTTCCAGAGGAATACCCTCTTTGAAGTCAGGCAGTTCATTTTACAAAATATCAGCATAATTATCACTGATTTGACTTTCCTGGTAAGATGTATTGTTCAGTGAGATGTTCGCCAGTGATAATACATGTATTTACTGAAAATTGTTGTTACACATTACTTGCTACTGTTTGTCATGTATTTGCTTGAGCCCACAAATTGACGTTTCTGGTATTATTGACTCCAGAGCATGTAAAACTGTCTCTCAGTGAATAAAATGAAGGGTTGCAAGTGGAAGTATACATCAGATTAACAACAGAATTTTCATCCATGTTCCCAGGTTCAAGATTTTGAATATCCTGGATTGTGGTATTCACTCAGTCCATCTTTGTATAATATTTGCCAGATATCATAGGTGGGACATACAGATGAACAGAACTACTTTGAATACTAACATATGTGCTGAGCTGTACCTTTTGACTCTTTTCTTCACCCTCCACATTTTGCTGTACTACACATTCAACAGACATGCTCAGAAATGAGCCATTTTCACATAAATGGTGATCTTGCATTCATCACTGTTGAAATCATTGTCAGTATTCAACTGTAGCATTCGTGTTGCCATTGCAGGAACCATATACAAAGTGCATGTTCAGAATACTTCATTTTAAGTCAACAGTTTTTTATAGGTAGTAGGGTGGGACTAAGTCCCTTGTACTGCAGCCACTTCTGGCCTATTGTACCAGCCCCAGATGATAGGTGAGGGTGATTGTGGAACAATTGGCAGGGGAAACCAAAGTACTTGGAGAAAACCTGCCCCAGCGCCACTTTGTCCACCACAAATCCCACTTGACCAGACCCGTGATCAAACCTGGGCTGCCGCGGTGGGAAGCCAGGAACTAACCGTTTGAGCTATGGCATGGCCTAAGTCATAACAGTTACATCTAATAATGATATAACATCTTCATGCAATCCAGGCTTTGTTATGATCAGTTATGGCTGAAAATTGGAATTGCCCAGCAGATTCAGGTGGTGGTCTTTCACACTGAATTAAGCAAAATCTCTGGAAAGGTTTATCTGATACAAGAAAATGTCCTTTATTGCCTTATGCAGACTCAATTTATTATGGATCATTATGGCTGAAAAATGGAATTGACTGACAGTCAAGGTATCCCATGTCAGATTAAGAAAATCTATCCAGTGTTATCAGGCACTAGTACCATTAGAGCCCCTGAGAGATTTTTGCTGGTGTAGGGAAATTCTCTCACCCCTCACAGATCCCCACATAAGCTGGAATGGCTGTCTTATAGTTGTGTTACTCTGTATCCCAAGGGCACTGTTCACCACACTGCTCCCTTACTGCTGTGCAACCTTACCTTAGGGCACCACCCCTCTTAACAGTCAGTCCTTCCTTTCTGCACCCAGGCAGTCCAGCCTGCAGCTTCTGGGGACTGCCACAGAGAGGCAAGTGGGATGACTTGGTCCCCATTCTGTCAGGTAGAAACCTGCGTCCCTTCAATTCTGTCAGGAAATCTGATGGTGGATGCCTTATTGTATGCATATGTCTCATTGTCATTTTATCAGTCCCCATCTACTGGATGAGGAGACATGTAAGCGTGCTTGTATTTTTCTTGAAATGAGGTTCCATTGTGCACTACAAGAGTATGTATATTCCTGCTTGAACTTTAGCCTGCAGCTTCATGTGTAGTGGAGAGAGTCTGAGAAGGACCTCATTAGCAGCTATTGGAGTTATCCTCATGGCTCCAGGAATGCCCAAGCAGCCTAGTCTTCGCAGCTCTGCTTTTATGCTTTGGCCACAACAGTGACAACTTAGGTGATGACATGTCTTACCACAGTGATCTATCCATAGTTCAAGTCCCAAGTTTTCCCAAATGTGCTTGTGCAGGTCTGAAAAGGTCTGTAAAGCCTTGTTTGTTACCTTATTCATGTGCTTCTTCGAAGTCAGCTTTTTTCTAAAGTTAGAAGTACTGTGGTGTGTAAGGCCGCTGCTATACAATGATCGCTAGATGGGTAGATATATAAGAGCTGTTGCTGGGCAACAGCTCAGTAAACACGTTCCCATTGCTAGGAAACAGATTCTTAATAATGCAACAGTTGGACTGTAACAGTGGAAATGGTGTGTCTGCATCTTCCATGCTGAGATGTTATAAGCAAGGGACAAAGTCAGAGAGTTAATTCAGTTGCAGGATATCTGCTGGACAGCAACAATGTGAGCACAGAAGCTGAAGAATCTTCTCTGTTAAGATTCATTACCAGGAAACAACTAGTGAAAGCAAACTGAGAAGACTTATCATGTGCTCTTGTGATTGTAGAATATGTGGATTAGTGATAAAATTATGATTACTTGTAGTTATGAGTTGTGTGTATAAGTAGCCAGTAAATCTATTTACCATTCCAGACCCCATCTATAGTCACACCCCTTCATGTGATAGAACATTTATCAATATTTGGAACAGTTATTGTCTCCCCATCTGTAGCCACTTGTTCTCTTCAAGTCAGATCTTGTCCATTTGTTACGTCATATCACTCTTCTCCCACTACACTCACTTTAGGTTTCCTGTTCTCTTTCTTCTCTGAGTTAAAGTGAAAAGTGAGTGACTGGCTCATGATTCACTTGTCTGTCCTCACTACCTGCCACTGAACTTGACTGATTTGCACATTTGCATTACACTGCCACTGAACTTGACTGAGGTCAGCTGGCTCAGGAGCTGTATAGGTATGTCATCCTTGGGAAATTTCTCGTGTCTGCTCGAGTGACGACAGCCTTCCATGTCCTGAGCAGTCACTGGAACAATCAAGAAGATGGGGAGTGTCACTGTTTCAGTTGAATGAGAGCTATGCCAGCTCCAGTGAAGGTACTTCATTATGCAACTAAATTGTTCTGCTGAAGAAAGTTGGTTCCTTAAATGCCCATTTTAATGACAGCAGTGCTGGATGATGCCTAGAATTGATTGTAACACTTCTGATACATTTTTGAGGGACTTTTCAATAAATTGGATTTCAGTATATCTGCATATCTGACTGTATAATAATTACCCCTGTTGAGTCCCCATAGAAGTTTGTCCACAGTCAGGCTCCAGAGCAGGTGTGATATCACACATCCCTGGGGGCAGTCCCCACCCATGGACTCTCTTGGGATTTCTCCTGATAGTGTCATACTGTTCTTGCCTTCTAGCCTAGAATAGATCCACCTACAAATGGTAGCAGGCTGTATTCTTGCTTCAAAAGTGGTCCTGTCAGAAGGCCCTAAGGCTATTTCCTTGTGCTCAGATGTCCATTCAGTGAAAGGTCCACATTATGAAGCGCAGTTTCAGTGGATTTTCTAGTTTGGCAGGCAAATTGGTTTCAGTGTAGAGGATGTTTCTTTTTAATACTCCAACCCTGATGTGCCTATCCACAAACTTTTCTATCAACTTCTGTAAGGAGTGATGAAAGGCTGATACAGTATGCCCTGGCATCAGTATAATAGGTATCCTTGGCTTCAGTATAGATGTTGCTTTTGCCCCTGTAGAGGCTTTAGGAATACATCCATATGTCAGACAGTTTCTAAATATGTAGCGCAGCTGAGAAACCATGTGCCGGAGGTAAGAGTTATTGATTGTCAGGCAGTGTAACAGTGCTAACCTTGTTAGTCATCTGTTTTTGCCATGACCTTCATGAATCTGACACTGCCTGGTACACAGCACATCTAGAAGTACCTCCTCCATGAGGACCCTCTTAGCTTTCATTCTCCTAGGTGTCCCAGTGTTCTGTCCTTGTGAGTATATTATGCAGCCTTCTTGTTGTCTCCCTCAGCCCACTCAATTTTTTATTTCCTAAAGGTACACTCCTTGCAAATTATTATTCACATATTCCAAAAAAGAAAATGCCAACAAATAAAATTGACATAAAGCACATAAACTGCAGATGATATTAAATCTTGAGGAAATGGTCCTGAATGAACAGATCTGCTTGTTGCAACTGGTTAGCCACATTTATGGCTTGCAGATGGTGAATGTTTCATGGTATAGTCTCCAAGATTTACCTCCTGGTCTTTAGACAGTTCCCAGTGGCTTCTTTTTGGATTTCAAAAAGTAACCTAGTTATTGCTGTGTCATTTGTGTTTGTTAGTAATAATAACTGACATATAAGTCTATATGAAGTCATTTTGACTGACCATTCTTAGTAATAATAACTGACACATAAGTCTATATGAAGTCATTTTGACTGGCCATTCTCTTGCATCCTGCCCTAAGTTTAAGAATGATTGGAGATTCACCTCCACTCCTTGTATCCATTTTTATTTTGTGCCCGTCTCAAGGAATGAATAGTAACCATTTCATCTAAGGTATACTGGATAATTCACACATCTTTTGTTCTCCAGAATGCTTTTGCACAACTGCAGCGAAATGAAACACTCGCCATTATGGCTGATATTGGAGCAAGGCTCAACGTATTATTGCATATGGACTTAGAGACTGTTGTGTGTCCCCCAGCTCAGTATTTTAAGGATGCTGCAGCAGAATTACGGAAACACTCAACAGACAGTTCCTTGAGCATTGAAGAAGCAATGCTGTTACTGAAATCCCTTGAAAAAGAAGCCACCAAGAAAATTGATGTTAGCACTGCTGAAGCCCTGACATGTAAGTTATTACCCTTTTATCCGGGGGTATATATGGCATTTCAGTGTCAGATACCGAACATAGCGAAGCAGATGGGTAGTTTTTCTGCTTGGTATTTGAGAATTCCCTAGTTCAAATGTTGGTCCAGAGACTGGCTATCAGAGAAAACAAAATGACAGTGATACATTTTTAAAATAAGTATTTAAAGCAGTTTGCAGACCAGGAGCAGTCCGGTTCCTAAACATATCTGGTGGGAAGAAGAGTAGTAAAATCTTGACCACAAGTAATGTGAGAGAGAGTAAAAGTCCTGTTGGAAGCAATAGAATCAGAGTTTACATTAAACTGCACTGTAGTTCAAGTAACAAGGCTGTGCAACAGGAGACTGACTAATTGTGCCTTTTCTTTTTATTGCTAGTGGGGTGGGACTAAGTCCCTTGTACTGCGGCCACTTCTGGCCTATTGTACCAGCCCCAGATGATAGGTGAGGCTGATTTTGGAGCAATTGGTGGAATGAAGATTGGCAGGGGAAACCGAAGTACTCGGAGAATACCTGCCCCAGCACCACTTTGTCCACCACATATCCCACTTGACCAGACCCGGGATTGAAATAAGGCCACCGTGGTGGGAAGCCAGCGACTAACCGCTTGAGCTATGGCGCAGCCTAATTGTGCCTTTGTTTGTATACGTATATTTCCATCTCAAATGCAGCTTATTTTCTTGTTCTACTTCTCTATCACTACATGTTTCAGCTGTACACGACCCTTGTGCGGTACACATCTTTGTTGGCAAACCTGACCCATTGTATGTTAATATTATACAGTAGAACTTGGTTATAACGTCATCAAAGGGACCTAAAAATAGTGTCGTTATAAACGAATGTCGTTGTAACTGAAATGGGCACTTCCACAGTAGCCTTATGTTAGTCACGTAAAAATCTACCAAAAACCGAGTTAAAATGTTGCATTTTTTAGTGAAATACGTAGTTAAGTACAGACTAACGTAACATTAACGTGGAATTGCCCAAATGTGTAATATCAAAGACATATTACAGCGCTTTTCACTGACAATACACACAATATTTCACGAATCACTTTAACTTTCTCTTCAATGCTTAAAACTTTCCTTTTCATTGCCATGT